CAACCCCCAGCCATTTATATCACTGGAGCGAGATGTTTTGGCAGCTGGTATGACCCCCAGGAAGCCAAGAGAACATCTGTCAAGATAGCTCCCAGAGCAGGGCCACCAAATTTAGCAGCAACATGGAGATCTGCATTAAGAAACTGATCCTAAAGGGGTCTCAAGTCCAATAAGCGTGATGTCATAAGTTAGAAAACATCATTGGGTTGAATGAGCACTTCTTTTCGAAACGCTGCCTGCCTGGCTGGCGCCCTGCATTTTGATACAGCCAGCTTAGAAGGGCGGGGCTGTATCGCCAGGGCTGTGGCATCTTTCCTTATTTTGTCTCTCCCCTTCATTTTGGGCAGCGGAATATTGCCTTTTTGTTGTTACTTTCCTGAGCTCAAGGGTGCACCATGCCCTGGAATAGACGTCTCCTGGGAGGCTCGAGGTGATCGGTCTATAGTTCTTTATAACATGAGGTCGCTGGTGAGTGTTTCTTCGATCTAGCTCTCTCAAGGCCTTTTTTTGTCAACCAAATCTGGGAGAGATTGTCCCAAAACTCTACTGGTCGTTGGGCTTCTGCTTCATGAACAGAATTCTCAGCTTTCTTCCTTTGGGTTCAGGCTTCGGGAGCTCCAGCTGTCGCTTAAGCGGTAGGGACATAGGAACATTGAGTAAATGATAGCATCAGTAATTGGAGCAAGAACTTGGACGATTTTTTATTCAAGAGGGTGTTACTGGGGCCATGCGCAGGCACACATTGGACATGCCCTGCCTTCACCATAATTGGCCCCTACTGCCTGGATGCCGTTTATTGATGGCATGCTTATGAACCTCAGTGGCCATCGAACGGAAGACAGAAGGTGGTTCCACCAGCTCCCACGTTAGCCAATAAGTCACGGGTACGACGTGCGTTAGATTTTGCGATTTTGCGGCCTGGGCACTATTCTACACTTGGAGCAGAGAGGCAGAGGATGCTGGGATGATAAGAAGAACAACAAGTGTATTAGGCCACTCGCTGTGGTAGATGACATGTGATTAGCAGAACAGGAAAGTTTCTCCGAGGCCGTCTTCGCCAAGGAGTGGATCGGCTTTTGGCTGCATTTGGGATTTCCAGAATAGGAATGGTCAGCATTTCCTCGATAAAGGTCCACCAAAGCTTTTCCATTCAACGTCGTCATCGATCTGTACGCGGAACATTCCTCATTCCTCATTCCTCACCCTCAACCAACCCGCGTTTTTCCCCCGGACATTGCATGCCACGTTGTGTGTGTGGTCTGTGGCTTGCTGTTGGTGGCTTAAGTGTTTACCATTACCATTACCATTACCATTGGGTGATGGTGGTGGTGGGAATGTGGATCATGATCACAGTCTTCTGAGAACTTTGGAAGAATGCAAAACACAATGAGATGAGATGAAGACTGATGTTAAAGCTTCCTCTTTTGTCTCTTATCATTTATTTATTATTCTGTTATTCTATTATATACAATACATACTAGTATATACATACCTCCCCCCCAAAGGAAAGAAGAAGGGAGTTAAAAAGATATTCGAACGTCGGCAGTTCACTGTGGAATAGGAGAAAGCGAAGAGGGAAGAGGGTGGCAAGAAAGAAAGACGGACATATATATATACATTTGTGTGTAGTGTATATATATGATACCCGACCCAGCAGCACGGCAGCGATAATTTTCATCTGCTATAACAGGAACAAAAGAGCGGTAAAGGAGGAAAAGAAGGGAAAAGAAGGGAAACAAATATCGCTACGTTCGCATTTAATTCGCTTTTCTTTCTTTCTTTCTCTTTTTCTCTTTCTCCTCTGCCCCCTTCTTTTTATCAACGCCTTATGTATATTTTCTTCTTATGAACTCGTCATCGCCGGATAGAGGGTCGGATCGTTCTCCGCTGCTTGGCGGGGATGAGCAGCCGTCATCTTCGGGACACAATGTTGATGTTGATGCCAATGCCGATGCCGGAGAGGTTTGTGGCGATGTAGCAGCAGACGAGTTTGCGAAGGAGGCTTGCGAGGATACGGAACGGAAGAGCAGCTGGTATTTGTTTCTGCTAACACTGAGTATCGGCGGGTATGTTTTTAATTTGGCCTTTTTTTTCGCTTCAGAATGGTGATTGGGATTGAATGCTAATCTATTTTTCTTATATTCGTATGATTGGACGACACAGCTTGCAGATTGTTTGGTCTGTAGAGTTGTCAAATGGATCTGTATGTGTTCGGGGGATTTCTATTTACCTGATACTTTTCTTCTCACTCTGTATTTCTGGATAGGAAAAAGCTAATACATATATATACTTGTCTATAGCCCTTCTTACTATCCCTGGGGATGGATAAATCCCTCCTTGCCTTTGTTTGGATTGCAGGCCCCTTAACAGGAGTCCTTGTCCAGCCATACGTTGGCATTCGTAGTGATAACTGCAGAATATCATGGGGAAAACGAAAACCATTTATGATCGGGGGTGGGATTGCCACTATCGTATCCCTGCTCGCGCTTGCATGGACTCGTGAGATCGTGGGCGGCATATTGGGCATATTTGGCGTTCCCTTCGGCTCTGAGGGGGTCAAAGTAACGTCTATCGTCATGGCGACTATTTTGATGTATTGCCTTGATTTTGCTATTAATACAGGTGAGCTTGCCTTCTTGGCCCTGTTAAATTCAATATGACTGTTATGTCTGATGTTGATTGACATTTGCTACGGTCTTCGTTTTAGTCCAAGCGGCAATTCGAGCTTCATCGT